ACTGCTTAAGTGTGTTGAAAGAACAAATTGAAATTTATCTATTACCTTTTTAAGCAGGGACAGTGCTGAGTTTTCAAACATAGCTGGATTTTCCCTTGAAATTATTTCCTTAGTCCAAGCTGGCAGAATGCTACAAGCCTTATTCTGCAGCCATTTTATCTTACTTGCTCTTGCAGCAAGCCCAAAATCTTCAGAGTAGTTTCTCTATCCATGACAAGCTGTTGTAAATTTTAGTTTTAGATTATGTATGTGTATTTAGATTATCTACACGTGTCTAGTTTACATGGACTATTTCTGTAGGCAAGGTTATCTAGTCATTGGTTTTTAATTCCCTGTGTCACTTTTCTTGGCTGAACTAAATTTCATGAAAAGCGTATTGTATGCCCAGTATTAATTTATTACTTCTAAATTTCTTTATTCTTGAACCAGGTAATCAGATTTAATAGACTACAAAAGCACTTTCAAACAACCCCCTCCCCCTTCCACTCTTGTAAGAGTTTTATATTATTTCTGTGTGCAATGCTTGCCTTCTTATATTAACGTTTCCACGCTAGAGGCTTTTACTTAGTTCACATAAGTTTTAGATACTGTACCTGATTCATATAACATGAATATAAATAGCAGCATACTAGTATCTAAAACTAGGAGCTCCCTTGTTTATCTGAAATTGACTCCTATTACTGCCACTGGATTATATGACCTCATTTAATCTAGAAAGGGCCCTTTTTCATCATCTGTTTCAATGATTTGGGAATGTCCAGGGATGATTACACTGTGATCTGGGCTTCCTGGCTGCCCCCCCCCCCCGCTGTCAGACTGACTGGACCTACTTCGCCTCTTATAACTGCAAAATAGTCTTACATCTCCATGTTTAAGCTCATTGTTAATTTTTTTTTATGTATGCTCAGATCTTCTGGGACCTTTGAATAAATGGTCTGCTTTTAAAAATTGAAGTAAATGAGTTTTTCTTGTGTAAGTCAAGTTTACTTTACTGAATTTTGACACCTGAAGTATTTTGATACTAGAAAATCCCAGTGGGCATATGATTCCTTTTAAATATAAAACCTGGTTACATTTAGGCAAACTAGACTAAAAAAAAATATTAGAAGAACCTGAGCAGAATAGCAACACTGTATAAAATAAAGCTTTTTTTTTTTTAATTTTTTCAAGACTCTTTATAGTATTGCTAACATCAGGCATTAAAAAAAACAGGATTTTTTTTTTGCTTTTCACGATTTTTTTTTTTAAACACAATCTCTAGGTACTTTTTTAAAAAGCTTTTTTTGTGTGTTTATTTAAATTGTGGGCATCTTTCCAAAAATGCGTGCAAAATCCTTTTTTTAGTAGGAGGTCCATGCATGTCATATGACTCAAGAAGGTGGGACTTTAAGAGAAACATCAAATTGAGACCAAGAGCACAACTGAAGCCTGGCAGCCACATGCTTACAACGGTAGCATTCAGCTCTGAGGAGCTGAGATACATCTCATTCCATGGCTTACGCAACGAACATGCGTTTTTAATTTACAGAGCAGTTCATCTGAATATAGGGGTATAGCTATGACCTTTTCAAAAGGTAATTTTTGTTTTTAGAAGTGATCAAAAGTGTTCAGTATAGCATCACTTCAGTCTTTATAATTGCTACTGAAAGGACTAAAAAAAAATTTAAAAAATCTGGTTTCAACAGCTTGGCAGTACTAAAACCAGTGAGAAACTTGCATTTATTTCAGTGGCCTTTGGCTCTGCCTTGCAGAACCACTTGAGCTGCTAGTTAGAAGTTTTGCAGGAGGTTTGAGGTTGGGCTGAAGCAGTCTTTGCTGTTAAGTTCGGATTACTTCTACTGCTGCGTGGCAGCATCTCTGTACAGTGACACCTTACGGGGCTGCAGAGATTTGAGCTACCGCCCTTCAGGTGTTGGAAAGATGGATGTGATAAGTTATCAGATCTGGTCATTTACATTAGGCCAATATGTAGTTGCCAATGTAGTCGTTTCAACTTCATTACCAGTTTACAGTAACTTGACAAATTATTTTTTCCATGTCACAAAAGCACTTTCTTTTAAATCCCATTTGCTAGTAAAGTCATATGCCAGCCATAATTTTCACTGTTTCTTCACACTGCAATGAGTAAGAACAACACACTTTATGTAATTGAGACACAAATAAAATGCAATGTTTTAGTTGGAGGGGTGCGTGTGTAGAAGATCCACATACTGTTTTTCTTCATATATAAAAATCTGAATGCCCATCTGAAAATTTTTGATTCTGTGCTACTGGGCACCACAGAAGGAACAAGAAAAAATGAGATTCTGTCTGTAAAAGTAAACCTTTACAGGTGCTAGCATCTTCTGCTGCCATTACCTTCTGTTTGGAAGCATGCTATAGCTGAATCTGATGATCTGGAATTACATAAATTTAACTTTAGACATATTCTAGATCTTTGTCTTCTTTTCTCTCCAACTAAATACCTGAAGTCCTCCTTCTGCCCGATTTTCATTTGGCTCCTTGATTGAGTTTTTTTACCCCTGGCTACATAGTGCTCAATTTCAAGAGGAGTCTGAAGAGGGGAGCGTGGTGTTCTCTGACATGCTGCGTGGCATAGTCCTTGGGTGCTGCTGCTGCGAAGGTGGGATTCTGATTTCCTTCTGGCTGAAAGCTATAAACACTGGACTGTAGAGCCAAAGCAGGGCACAACTAGAAACATAGCCATGATATTGGATAAAATCAGTCAGCACCCATCTAGGTTTCTCCACTTCCCCAGGAGAGTTGCACAGATTGGTGGTGCGTTGCTGTCGAAGCTGGAATAGCGCACTAGGGACATGGACGGCCATTCCCCTAGAAGGGGCAGTTCAGGGCTATATGAATAAGGGAAGCCCACAGCCACTTTTGAGCTGGATGTGTGTAAGCACTTGCAGGGTTAGTCGGTCCTGGAGTGCCAGCAGGCAGGATTTTTCTCTGGGAGTTCTGTGCATAAAACTTGTCTCGTTATAGGCAGATTCAGTCTTACCCTGTGTCACTACTGTAATAGTTAATCCATTAGGAACCATGAACTTTCATTTTATTTTCACTGGGGATTTAATTATCAAAGCTTTGAGGAGCAAGTTACAAGGATAGAATAGTTTTATAGTTGATTATATGCGAAATTTAAGCAGATCTGATAGGTCAAGGAAAAGAAAGCTTACTCTGTTATACATCTCTTATTTGAAAGGAGTGGCTGAAGTTAATATTTTCTTTCTTCTGAATGGCATACATGAATTGTTCCTAAGCAGTTATGGCACTGTGTGAGTTTACATTGAACCTTCTGTTCCATTTTCTAACAACCTTCAGGTTATTCTGAGGTATTTGCAGTAACAAAGGTGGCTATGTGCAGAAATATAAGGCTGAGTGTAAAGAAGTTTTTTTTTAATTTTCTAAATGAAAATGTTTTTGGAGCATAGATTGTGTGATAAACATAACCATTTTTGCTACGTGCTGAAGTTCTATTTGTCCAGAAAGTCAGAGTCAAGAGTCCCATTCAAATCCCTGTTCTCTGGGTGTCAGCTCAATCACTGACTGCGTCTCACTAGGCAAGGCTCAGCGTTCTTTTTGTGTCTGTGCAAAATTGTAGTGGCTTCAGTTGTATCCTCTTTTTGCAGTTTTTCTGAAGCATAAACAAGAACAGATTTAAATAAAAGCAAGATTCTAAGAGAAATTAATATCAACCACCAAAAACGCTTGGACCACAAAAAAGAATGTATCTGGAAGGAACTTTTTTTTCCAGAATACTTTACTGAGAGGCAGTAAAAAGACAAAGTTAAATAATTGGATCCCAAAGGTGCTGTATGTAATTTTGAAAGGGCTATGTAGTGCCTGGAAAGGTTGTGAAATTATGTTTACTAATAAATATTCTAAATCATAAGTTTTAGGGAGATAATAGGCATAATGATAGGTAACCTATAACTTAAACAATGTTCTTCACCAGTAGAATATCTTGTAAATCTGTCCTTGTGATGAACAGCAGCACTTACTCAGACTAAAAATAATAACAGGACCGTGTATCTTGGATCCCAGGAGACTGTTGGTGTTTTTGTAGACAGCAGACAGGAGAAAAAGGCATTTTGTCCTTTTTACCCCAAGTAATCCCACTGGAAAATTAAACATGTGCTATGAATTGATATCAACTCATGCCAGGTTCCCTCCCTACAGAGGGCTGCTGCAAACACTGTTGCTACATTTCTTGGACAGCAGTTTGATGGCTTGTGTGCATGATGGATATTTTATGCTGTATGCTACTGTGGAACAGTGTGCTACTGTCTGCCCCTCCGAGACCGCTGGTGAGGTGTGCCACAAATAACTGGGAACAGCAATTGCTTTAACCCTACGGAGAATCTCAAATACCTGCAAATGAAGAATGTTACTGAAGTATTTCTGTGTGCCTATGTGTCTGGGAAAACTGTGTTGGTTTTGGTTTTTAAGGTTTAATCCTGCAAAACAAAGCAGTTCCTTTTGTCTTGCTGTGGATTCCTACTGAACACGGGATAAAAAAAATATTAAGCAATATATTAGCAAGAAATATTTAGAGAAACCACGAACCTTTTTTTAATGGACCACCCTATCCAGTTTCTGTTCTTTTAAGGAAGTTTTTCCTATTCATGACTCATTTCACTCTTTGGCTAACATCAAGGGAAATGGAATAACGATTAAGCAAAGGAATGTATGTTTTTTTCTGGTTTTGTCCTTTTTTCAAAACCTTTATGAATTTTCTGCATAACCTTGTGTAAATATATACGGATGTAGAAGCTTGACAACTGTGACAAGGTAAAAAGTACACTGCTAATACTTGCTTCTTAGTAATTTTTTTAAAATGTTCCTTTTGGTTCTACAAGTTAATGTTATGCTGGATACTCCAGACTCCCTATTCAGTTAAAATGACATGCTCCAGGCAGCCAATTACACAGAACTGTTAAGTGAAATTAATGAGATCACCCCTAGATTACACTTTGTGTTTTATTTTCATTTTATAGGTCTGTACGAGCTGCTGGCTGCGTTGCCAGCCCAGCTGCAGCCACATGTGGACAGCCAGGAAGACCTGACCTTCCTCTGGGATATGTTTGGTGAAAAAAGCCTTCATTCACTGGTGAAGGTAAACCACATTTAAGTCAGATTCTCTTTGAGAAGAGCATATGGAAAAATGTTTTGAGCGCCATCTAGTAAACCAGTGATCAAACTGTTGCTCAGTGAAAACAAAACAGCCTTGTTTTAAGTCTGTTTCTGTCAGGGGTGGAAGTTGTTAAATAAGATTCTACCAAAAATACATAGATGATTTCATTTAAGAGTGATGTTTTGGCAGTGTAACGCTAATGCAGCAAACATATGTTGTTTGCCCTTGTTTAGAAAAAAAGAGTACGAAATAGTAGCAGGAAATCTGAGACTTCTTTATGGTCAACATTGAAGACCTGGAGTTTAGCTTAAATAAATAAATGTTCACAGCAAAAATTAGAAGGAATATATTTTCTGAGGTCAAGTATGGCAACAGTTCAGTAGCCACATTAATTTAAAATAATTTCCTTTAACAAAGTCAACTGAAATTCTAGTAAGCTGTTTCTTTTATTGGCTTGCCTCCATTTAAAATTGTGTTTTGCACATAAATATGTTGGACTAAAGTACCACCTAAAATAAGTTTGGAGGAATACTTGACTGAAGTATAGTGTCCTGCTACGAAAATGATCAGCAACAAGAAATCAAAGCATGCCATGGGAGTATGCACAGCTACCCTGATAATGTTAAAATTGCTTATAGCAGAAAAATTGGACCAATCAGCTGGTAAGAAATGTTCCACTCCTACAAAATGGTAAGTATGTCTTCAGTCTCCAGCACAGAGCTAATTCAAGCTGGAAGGAAATTCTGAGGTCTCGAGTCAGTAGGTGGTAGCAACCCATGCTGTGAATATATTCAGACTTCTACATAATCGAGCAGAATTTCTTACCCTTGTCAGTCACTGATCTAGAAGAAGCTTAAATTGGGATTAGTTTGATGTAGGTTTGAAAGAGTCACCTTTTTCCATTTCTTTCAGCTATCTTATTCTGGAAAAATATGTAATAATGTTGATACTTGGCCAAAATTATTTTTTAAATAGCTGTAAATTTGCATATAAAAGTAAACACAAGTACTCTCTGGTAGTTGATACACAAAAGCAACGAGCAGGGGAACAGTGTTTGGTGGTACTTGCTTGCCTAAAGAATTTCATCAACATTTCTGAAGTGCGGTGATTCCCAGACTCGTTACTGCTTTGCTGCAGCTGTCTGGTCAGGTGGTTCAGAAGATCACTGCAAGGGGAACACCGGTTGTCTTTCTAATAGAGGCTGACAGTGGCGTGCATCTGAGCAAAATGTTAGGTCAGTTGCTAAATTAGTTTTCTTTCTGGATTGGGAATTAAAGAAGGCTGGCTAGAAAATGAATGTGGATGTGTGAAACACATTTCAACATTTGATCTAATTTTCTATTCAGGCAAAACCTAAACCTTTTCAAACTCCTTCACTTGCTCCCTTTTGCCCCTTCCCTCAAAAGAAGACAAAGATAGCACAACAGTAATTAGTTTACTCTCCTTGAGTATACTCTCAGTTTGGAAAAGTTGGCTCTCCTGCTGGCTTTCCTAGTTGCGTGCCCTAGTTACCACATTACTTGTTATTGCAGGGTGGATTGGTCTTTCTGCTTTTAACAAAAAAGAATTAATGAGAAGGCTTTCTTGAGGTAGATAGAAAGTTTGGGGGGATCAGTGAATAGTCACTTTATTGCAGTTGTAATAAGAAGGCTTTGAAGTATTCCAACCATTTTTATTATTTATCTTGTACATTTTATGTCCAAGTATTAAATGTACATGTAACTCTTACCCTGTGAACGGTTCTTTTCATGTCCTAGTAAGTCTAACACTATCTTACAATAGACTTAATTCTTGAAACTGCATCTTTAGTGTTCACTAGTCACACTTCTTTGATACACCATATTAATTTCAATCAAAAGAAAAATATTTTTAATTATAAGAATTGAGAGTATTAAGAGCATCTGGTCTGATCCAGTGCGTATGACAGGCTATTGAACCTCACCTTTTGGTTTCTGTGGAGTTCAGGTATAGAAAGTAGGGCACAAAGAGCTTTCAAAAGGTTATCTAGTGCATATCCCGGCCCCAAGATGGGCTTAACTGTATCTTAAACTCATGGTATTTGTTTGACCTTTAACACATTTTTGGAAGGATTATTCAGTATCCTATCAAGTTTCAGAGAAGGCAGTCCATAGCCTTTTTGGAAGAGAGCTGTAAGAGCAAAAGAAAGAACACCATCTGCCATAGTTTTTCCCTGTTATAAGGCTTCAGAAGTGCCAAACCTTTCTTTCTGGGTTCCGGTGTCTTATTTGAAAGACTGTTTTTCCTAGCAATAACTTCTTAAAGTCAATTGTACTTGCAAAGATAAATGTTTTTAATTCCTCAGGCAGACAATGATGACAGATATTTTGTAATAAAAAAAAAAAAAAAGGCACTAGCTTAGGGCCAAGGATGTTGCGATCCTGGTATGTGTTGGTTTTGGAAGAAAATGAGCATGGGTATACTACTAATTAGGCACTAATATTTCTCTATTTAAGATAGACATACTGCTTAATAAAAATTTCTATGCTGATCTTCTTACCTTACTGTTTAATACTTTCAAATATTAGAAAAGAGCTTTTTTTCTAAGTTATAAAATGGATAAAATGCTCCAGATTGCTTGAAAGGTTTAAGTATAAAATGAGCTTTCTGCTCTTTTTATGGATATTTTAAGTTTTATGGGTATTTAGTTATCACAGTGTTTTCTGTATGGTTGTATACCATAGTATATGGTTTGCTATTCTGGCTCTCTTAATATTGAAGAGAAAGAAAAAAGGAAAAAAAAAAAAAAAAGCCCCAAACCTTGTCTTGGAGTTCTCTTCATTCAGTATTGTTGGACAGAAACCTCTTTGTGAACTTGGATCAGCCTGAGCTGTTCTAAGAAGTCAGAAATGGAAAAGTTGTATTAGATCATCTAGTCCATTCCCCTGCAAATACTGGATTGTTCCCTACAGTACATTCCTATTGTAGTAAGTAAAACCAGCAAAAACTGATGCAACTGTTCTTGCTGTCCCTTTTCTCAATAAAGGAATCTGTTGATTAGATTTTATTTTGCAAAGTATAGAGAAGAGGGAACCCACAACTGTTGTTGACAGTTTGGAAGAGAAAACTGGCTCTGGATAGTGAATGTTTAAAATTTCTCTGCTTCCCTCAATTTGTTACTTCCTTGTCTTATTACATGACTCTCTTAAGTTCTACCAGAAATCTTCAGCTATGTCATTACTTTTTATATAGCAGAGATCCCAATAATTCTGTAGAGATTTATAGAAAAGAAACATGAAGAGATGATCCTTCAGGGTAATTATGAGCACTAACGTAGCTGAAACCTGAAACAGTACACATGTGCTCTGCTTGGATTTTTTTTTTTAGAGGAACAGAAGGGATAAATAAAGATCTGTTCTAACTACTTTTTTAGCTTATTTTTAGAGGACCTGCAAGAATTTCCATGTGCGTTTGCTTGCTATTAGTGCACCAGACACATGTTTTACTGTTTGTCTGTTTAGCTCCAGGATGAAGCTTCTACTTGCGCTGTTGCCTTAAACATTTCTGGTTGTGGATTACTCAAGAATTGAGTAAGCTTATCTGTTGGGCTGCTACTGAAGTATTTCTTAACCAATTGCAGTTTACTGATTGGTTTTGGCCAGCTCAGAGCACGCACAGTTCTTTAGCCAGTACTGTACTTTGCATTACGAAAAAGAAGCCACAGCAAGTGGTGTTGCTGTTCCCCGTGATAGGGAAGAGTTTGTACATCCAAAAAGCAGTACGTGGCACTGGAAAAGAAAACAGCTACTGCAGAAGTAAGGAATAATTGGTGAATATAGTCTGATTTTATTATAACTGCATAGTATTTTGGTAGCTGGCCCTGCAAAACCCTAATTTGTGCTAATTCTCTATTAGTTTCACCTGGATATGACTTGACTTGGAGTTCTGAGAAATTATTTTGTATATGTTAATGTTTGTCCATGTCGATGGCTAACAACTTTTCCAAAAATACAATAGTTGAATGTATCTTGGTGTAATCTCTTTGGCTTGCAAGTTGAATCATATGATTACGTAGCCCAAATTTTACAATCATTGTGGTGTAGAAGTATTGGAAATTTTCGCTATGAAGACTCAGATTTTTTCAGTATGTAAATGTAGATGCTTTCAGCCTACTGTGGTTCCGTTTTTGGTAATGAGAAAAATAAAGATACCATTTACAAAAAATGAGCTGACTAGGGCAAAGCAAAAGGGATTGACTTCACACATGCTTACAGTGATAAAATCAACGATCTGCAGATGGTGTGCTAAATCTTCAGTCTGGACTGGTACAAGCCTACTTCATAGGCAAGTTTATATACACTTATAGTTTTTACCCAGAGCTTTACACACAAACTCCATGAAAAAAGTTGTTAGTCTGTAGGATGAAAGGGTTTGCATCTGTAGTACAGAATCAGAGAGTCTCAGTAAGGTTTCATGGCTTATTTTATGGTAGAGAATAGACTAACTCATAGCTATCCAACGTTTCACCTGGGAAGAGCTATGCAGGTTCTTTTGGCACTTGTGGAGGGGTCGTATGGTGCAGTTTCCCCTACCTGTGATGTGTCAGACATTCTGCAGCCAACATCCAGGTGCATGCTGCACAGATCATGTGCATTCATCTCATGTGTCATGCATCTGGATGGTGAATGCTCCTGCCTCGGCACGAGCTCAAGCATCCATGCATTTGGATCTTCTTCCTGGAATAACGTAGAGGAAGTGGACTTCAGATTATAAGAGTTGTTCTGATGAGTCGTGTGTGACAACTGATTGTTCTGAACTCGTTCTGAACTTCTGATGGGAATGACCCATAGATGGAGGGAATTATATCTCTGTATATGTCAAAGGACTGGGAGGGTGATGGTGGATGAGGAGGATGTATTAGATAGTGTAAGACCTGATCATGACACAAATGATATAGAATGAATGATTGTACTGAGATGGAGCTGGCTTTCTTCATGGCGGCCTGATGATGTTAATGTTGACTG